TGAAATTCTGCATTTCTCCTCTTTTGGTCAGGATTCTTCTGTGGAATCTTGCTATGTTCAGTACTAGCATGCCAGGCATGACCATCTCTTCTCAAGGCACAAGGCACAGTTTGTTCATGAAGCAGTTAGCCCCACCTGCCATCTCCTCCTCCTATGCCTGTCCTCCTTTCTCTCATTTCAGGTGAGTCGACACCAATTACTGTGCCTTAGTTGCAAGCTCTTAAGACACCAGGCACTGCACCGCAAGTTGGAGTTAGAACAGGAATGTTAAACATGCTGTGAGGACAACTGTGATGTCCCTTGAACGTGTGACCTTAAACTGCTAAACCCAGAACCAAGGAACTCAATTCCATGAGGAGTTGTATGTCAGCAGCCACAGCAGCAACTGGTTGTGTTTTGTTGTATTTATTTGGATTTTTTCATTGTGTTGTTGATATAAAGATACCTGTCATGCATTACAGTAAGTTGTATAGTTCTTCCCTTAATCAGTGCAATTGTTAACTGTTAACCACCCTGCCTGTCACGGGTAACCACTAAAACTTCGATCTGTATCCATTTGACTTTTCTTGTCTTTCCATGTAAGTGAGGTCATACGGTATTTCTCCTTTTGTGACTGACATTTTGCACAGTATGTCTTCAGGCTTTCATCACACAGTAGCACGTGTCAGGACTCATTTCTCCTGATGGCCGACCTGCATTCATTTGTGTCTGTGGACCATGTTTATCCATTCATCTGTTGATGAGCTAAGTTCAGCCTCTTTTCATCTTGACTGTTGCGAATAGTGCTGCGGTGGGCATTAGTGTACAAGTTTCTTCTTAATTCTGTGTTCCTGAGTTTTTTGGGTTGATGCCTAGCAATAGAATACCTGAGTTATATGATAGTTCAAGTATTTAAAAAAATTTTTTTTTTGTAACCACCACCACACTTTTGCATAGTAGCTGTGCTGTTTCCATCCCTACAGAGGACCACAGTTCCGCTTTCTTTACAACCTCAGCAACTTTTGTTATTTTCTGGGATGCAGATGTGTTTTACTCTCAGGAGAGCTGGTGGCATACTCCACAGGGAGTTATGCTGACCAAAGGCAGTTTGTCAGTTTGAAGCCAATGGCTGCTCCCACGGAGAAAGGTGGATAACCTCCTCCTGTGTGATGGGCAGCCTCCCAGAAACCAGCGAGAGGTGGCGGGGAGTCAGCGTGGGACGGCAGGTGCTCCTGAGCAGTTTTCCATGGCCTTTGAATGTTGCCTTTGGTAAACGGTCTGCTCATTTATCTGGTTTTTGATTGTGGTGTTTCTCTTTCTGTTCAGTTGTTAGCATCTTTATAATTTTTTGTTAACAGATTCTAGTGGAGAAACAGCTTCTCTCCACTGGTTGTGCTTTTCACTTTCTTTGGTAAAGGTTTTTGATGAAAATGTTTTTCACTTTTATAAAGTTCAATTTGTATTTTTTTTCCAGTTGGTGCTTTTGTTATATTAGATAATCCATTGGTAAAAGCTAGGTGTGATAACATTGTTGGTGGTGCTAAGAATTTTATGATTTTAATAGGCACATTTAAGTCTTTAATCCTTTTAAAATTTACTTTTATGTTTGGTATAAGATAGGAATCCTTAAGAAATCAAATTTCCCCAGCACCATTTCTTGAAGAGGCTCTTCTTTCTCTGCCAGATAAATTTTGTACTTTTGTCAGAAGTCAGTTTGTTTCTGGACTCTCATCTACCCCTACTGGTTTTGTGCCACAATTGTGTTAGTAATTGAGCAGTTCCCTCTCTGTATAAAGAGCTCTGATAAGCAGAGTTACACATCTCACACAAAGGCGGCGGTTTGCATCTTCCAGCTGCTCCTTGCAAGAAAGATGGCCTTTCTCCGCCCGTGTAATACGCAGCCTTTGAGAACCTGCTGGAGGGACAGCCATGAGTTAGTTCTGACTTGATGGCAATGAATTTCAGCTTTTCTTCCCCCCCATATAAAGTTGAAGGTTCATTTTTCTGTTTCTGTAAAGAAGACTGTTGGAATGCATTTGGACTATGTTGAATCCAAAGCCCTTTACTTCCTACATCAGTTTTATGACTAGATATTTTATTCCATTGTAAATGGAATTGTTTCCCTAATTTCCATTTCTTACTTCTCCTGGCCTAGTGGAAACTCAACTAATTTTCATAGGTGACCTTTTTACCTTGCAACTTTGCGAAATTTTTCTATTGGCTCTACAGGTTTTCTTGAGGACTCTGTAATTTTCCATGTATAGAATTATTATTTACAAATAAAGATTGTTTTACTTCTTTTCCAGTCAGGATCCCTCTTCTTTGTTTTTCTTATTTTAACTGAGCTGGTTGTGACTTCTAATACAATATTAAGTTGATATTAAGTTGATGTGATGAGAACGAGTTGTTGTTTTGTTCTGTCAAGTATGACTCACATAGTGACCTCATGAACAACAGATCTGAATTCTGTCCTGTCCTCACCCTCTTCCTCATCATCTTTGACATACTTGAGCCTATTGTTGTGGTCACTGTGTCAGAAAATCTCTTGAGGGTGAAAGTATGTGTTGTGCCCAAAGTATGTGAAATGACCCTTCTGTATCACTGCCTCTAGGAGCACTCTGGCTGTACCTTCTCCAAGACATAGCTGTTTGTTCTTTTAGCAGTCGATGGGATATTGAGTACTCTTCGCCAGCACCGTAACTTTCCTTTTTCAAGGGTAATAACTTCTGTCTTTCTGCATTAAGGATAACGTTGGCTCTTTACAGCTGCTAGATCTGAACCATGTACTTTTGAGTTGGCAGCACAATCCCTTAGCATGAAGCCACCTAAGCTCTATTGGCCATCATTGTATAGGACCCTTTTAATATGATGTTTGATTCTGTTCACTAGTATTTTGTTGTGTTTTGAATCGGTTGATAATGGGTGGCCTATAAATAGTTTTCTTTACCTAGATTGTGCATTATGGTTGGTTTTGGTTTTGAGTTTTTGCTTCACAGGATGAATTTATAAACATTCCTTCCTTTATCTTTTGGAAGAGTTTAGACAGTATTGGTGTCACTTCTCTGTTTGGTAGAATTCCCTCTGAAGCCATCTGTTTCAGGACTCTTCCCACTTGTTGGGAAGTTTGGGTCACTGATTGGATGTCTTCACTTACTGTGTTTCTATTGAGATTGTTGGGGAATTCCAGCAATTTGTCCATTTCCTCTAGGTTATCCAGCTTGCTGCCATACTTTGCTTATACTACCCTGTCACAGTTTCCTTATTTCTCTTGAGTCAGTTAATGTTTCCTCTTTAATTTTGATGATTTTTATCTTTGTCAGTCTAGCTAAAGGCTTGTTCATTTTACTGATCTTTTCAAAGAACCAACTAATGGTTTTATTGATGCTGTTGTTTTTCTGGTTTTTATTTCAGCCTAGATCTTTGCTATTTCCTTCTGATAGTTGTTTTGGGTTTTTTTTCCCCTCCCCTTCTTCCTTGCTGTGTACCATCGAATCAGATCCAGCCGACACGTGGGAGGAGATGGTCCTCTTCCAGCAGAACATCTGGTGGATTCAAACCTGGCGCCTTTGGGATTGCATTGCAACTTCTTGCCACTAGAGCTCCCTTTCTTCTGATAGTTTTAGGCTGTTTGCCTCTGTCTGTCTAATCCTTGCCTGTTAATTTGAGATTTCTTTTTTAAGCCAGCTTTAAACGGCATAATATGGAGATAAAGGTATTTTGATTATGTTCTGGCATTGGGTTACTTTAAATGTTGTCTCAGGATAGAATATTCTTTCTGCCCCCCCCCCCTTTTCCTAATTAGAGAAAATGCTGTTATATGACATACTAGTCTGGTTTCCTTAAATTACCTTCCATGAAAAGAAGTTTCTAATCCTGCTTGAGAATCCATTTTTAATTGTGTTTTGTTCCTGGCTCACAGCTCTGGAAGGTTATTAGTAACCTACCTGCTTGCAGGGTCAGTGGCTTTTTAGTTCAGCCACATGCATCTTTCATGCATTTGTGGGGTTTTTCCCTCAAATGACCTTCCATCTTAACACGGAATAAATCCCAAGTCTGTTACCATTTAGAGGAACTGGCGTAGGCTGTAAGGAGACGTGCTGCTCACCCAAAGGCGGCTGCTGGGAGACCCCAGTGACCCGCTGGAGAAAGAGGGGCAGTTTCCGCCACAGCCTCCCAAGAACCAACTCCAGGGAACGCTGATGGCCCAGTGGTAAGAAGCTGTGCTGCAATCCTGAAGGCATGTGTTCGAATCCACCAGTTGCTCCATAGGAGGAGGATGGGCAGTCTCTCCGTGTACTTTACTGCCTCTGAAAACCCGCTGGAGGTCAGCTATGATGGTATGAACTTGATGGCATGAACAAGAAGACCCTTCACTGGAAGGCAGGTTACTGAGTCTGTTCTGACTGCAGTGGTGAGCCAGCTGCGTTAAGATTTACATGCTTGGAAACCCCATGGAGGTTGCTCTGAGTAAGAATCGACCATGAGAACTGCTCCTTCAGACAGGCACTAAGTCGGGAAATGCTCCCATGGTAACAGATGGAGATGTTCTGACTACGTGCCGTCAGTGTGGTTGGTTAATGAGATCCCAGAGTTTGTCTCCCTTTCTGAACTTAGAAGATTTAGTTTATCTGCTTTGCCTCCAGGTTTTCTGGATTTCAGTACACCTTGCGTTTTCCCCCTCTTCTTTGTTCCAGGCAGGAAGAGACAAAAGTTTTCAAAATATTCAGCATATTTAAAATATATTACTTCAAATTAACCTTGAAGATTTTTTTTTCTTTTTTAGTAATTTGGTCTCTGGGCATCGAGAATGGTAGTTGGATTTACTTTGGAAATTAGAAAATAAGGGGGGAAGTATAAAATAATTCTTGGTCTGTCCTGCTAACACTAGCTTCACTGAGTTATTAACTTGTAAGTATAAATTGTGTTGCCAATTAAAGTTTTTTTATTTTCATTGTTGCACGGGAAAACCATTCTTGGACTGCTTTACTCAAAAATGACACTCTCTTCTTTTCTCTTCACAGGTATATTTGTATCCAGTATTGTTCTTATCTTGTCGCAGCGATCACTTTTCAAGTTTTACATGTACAGCTCAGCTTTTCTCCTCGCTGCAACCTCAGTGTTGGTGAATTACTATGCTGCTTTGCACATTGACTTCTATGGTGCCTACAACACGTCAGCTTTTGGAATTGAGCTGCTTCCTCGAAAAGGCCCTTCGCTGTGGATGGCTCTGATTGTTCTCCAGTTAACGTTTGGAATTGGCTATGTGTCACTGCTCCAGATCCGCTCCGTCTATTCACAGTTAATTATTTTGGATCTCTTGGTTCCTATCATAGGCTTAATCACAGAGCTACCAGTGCACATCAGAGAGATGTTAGTTGTCATTTCTTCTTTGATTCTTACATTAAATACAGTGCTCGTATTGGCAGTGAAACTGAAGTGGTTTTATTATTCCGCACGGTATGTCTATCTTCTGGTGAGGCACATGTATCGGATCTATGGCTTGCAGTTACTGATGGAGGATACGTGGAAGAGGATTCGTTTCCCAGACATCCTGCGAGTCTTCTGGCTGACAAGAATGACGGCCCAGGCCACAGTGCTCATATACATTCTAAGGGTGGCAAATGAAACGGAGTCCATCTTTATTTCGTGGGATGATTTCTGGGACCTCATTTGCAACCTTATAATTAGCGGATGTGATTCGACACTGACTGTTCTGGGCATGAGTGCTGTCATTTCCTCGGTTGCCCATTATTTGGGCCTTGGAATATTGGCCTTTATTGGATCGACTGAAGAAGATGACAGGCGGCTTGGCTTTGTAGCACCTGTTCTTTTTTTCATCTTGGCTCTTCAGACTGGTCTCAGTGGGCTCAGGCCTGAAGAGAGACTTATTCGCTTAAGTAGAAACATGTGCCTTTTATTAACTGCTGTCCTGCATTTCATCCACGGAATGACAGACCCCGTGCTGATGTCCCTCAGTGCCTCTCATGTGTCGTCCTTCCGCAGACACTTTCCTGTGCTCTTTGTCTCAGCTTGCCTCTTCGTTCTTCCTGTTTTACTCAGTTACGTTCTTTGGCATCACTATGCACTGAATACTTGGTTGTTTGCAGTGACAGCCTTTTGTGTGGAACTCTGCTTAAAAGTGATTGTTTCTCTCACTGTTTATATGTTATTCATGATTGATGGCTACTACAATGTCCTCTGGGAAAAGCTCGATGATTATGTCTACTACGTTCGTTCCACAGGCAATATTATTGAGTTTATATTTGGAGTGGTAATGTTTGGAAATGGGGCTTACACTATGATGTTTGAGTCAGGAAGTAAAATTCGAGCATGTATGATGTGCCTACATGCATATTTTAACATCTACTTACAAGCGAAAAATGGCTGGAAGACATTTATGAATCGTAGGACTGCTGTTAAGAAAATTAATTCACTTCCTGAAATAAAAGGGAGCCGCTTACAAGAAATAGATGATGTGTGTGCAATCTGCTATCATGAGTTTACAACATCTGCTCGCATTACACCATGTAACCATTATTTCCATGCACTTTGCCTTCGGAAATGGCTGTACATTCAAGACACTTGTCCAATGTGCCATCAAAATGTATACATCGAAGATGATGTCAAGGACAGTTCAAGTACAGCTAACAACAATGGATTTATTGCACCCAATGAAAACCCAGAAGAACCTGTAGCAGAAGCTGGTGCTGAATCCGACAGGGAAATGAATGAAGAGGACAGTACAGATTATGACGATGATGATGTTCCGAGAGACAGAAATGGAGTCATTCAGCACAGGGGCCCAGCAGCCGAAGAACTGGTTAATGATGATACTGATTAAAATGGCATTTACTAATCATTGAAGTATTTGTTTAAAATTCAGTTCATCCAAAATGGAATAATAGGCTTCACTTCAGTGTGTAACCAGCACAAAAACAGTATCAATGTTGAATCTGTGAATGGTTATCTGTTTACTGTGATGTGCTACTGTAAATATACCTCTTTAATTACTTCTGGTCTCTTTGGTGACCTATTTAAATTTGTGTACATTATTGTACATAGAATAAAATGTTTTCACATGTTTTTATGACAAAATTGAACAAATAGCTTTTTAATAGATGTAATGATAATACAGTGCGTCAACTGTGCCAAAGAATTCCTCAATGAAAGTATATAACGTATTTCACTTTGAACCTTCGTTTTTCTTTAAAATATGGGGGGCGGAGCGTGAAAACGCAAGTCAGAGTGAACACTTGAAGCCAAGGAAATAAGATAATTTGGGTGCGATGATAAAGGGTATATATAGTATTTTATAACGTAAGTGAAAAATTAGTTCACTGACTTTGCAGTTTTTTAAAATTGGAGGATGGGAGTGTAGTTGTGTTGAGTCTGAAGATTCAGAATGGAGGGTTGAGAAATAGGCTTATATCAACTAAACTTTGGCATGATACAGAATGTTTAATCTTGATGTGAAAACATTATGTTGTTGTTATGTGCCATCGAGTTTCTTGCTACTCATAGCGACCCTATGTACAACAGCCCTAAACTCTGCTCTGTCCTGTGCCAATCGCACTGTCTCTGACACTCCCATCCCTATTATCCCAGTCACTGAATCAATCCACCTCATAGAGGGCCTTCCTCTCCTGCGCTGTCCCTCCACCCTCCCAAGCATGATGTTTTTCTCCAAGGACCAGTCTCTCCTCACAACATGTCCAAAGTATGTTAGACAGAGCCTCAGAATCCTTGCCTCCAAGGAGCCACCCGGTTCAACCCTTTCCAGGGTGAATCTGTTTGTTTTCCTAGTAGTCCATGGTATTCTCAATACTCTTCTCCAGCACCACAGCTCAAAGGCATCAATTCTTCTATCATCCCATGTCGTTGTTTAGTTCTCTGATGCATAACAAGTGATTGCGAAGACCAAGGCTTGTATCAGACGCACCTTAGTCTCCAGAGAGACACCATTGCTCTTCAGTACTTTGGAGAGGTCCCTAACAGCAGAAAGCAGTATATTTGCTAGTTATTCTGTTTTTGGAGTGTTGACATAAAACTGTCCTTCCAGCCTTTTTAATAGCTTACAGAATTGAGGGTTTTCATTGATTAAACTAGAGCTTTAAATGTTGTTGTTAGGTGCTGTCAAGTCGAGTACAGCTCATAGCGACAACAAAAGAGCTGAATCCTCGTACCATCCTCACACTTTGTGACACACAGGAGCCCATTGCAGCAGTCACTGTGTCAGTCTAGAGCTTTAAATAATGACATAAAAATCCTGATCTGATTGTAGGGATATAAATGAGTTTGACATATGGTGGCTGATACATAATACTTCTTACAAAGTGTCCAGTTAAAACCCTTTATTGATGCTTTCCGTAAGTTTTGCATACATGATTGAAAATGGATGATAATGCAATTACATATCAGGGAAAAATACTTTAATGGTGTTGTTATAGAGAGTATTGGCTAATTCCAGAGGGTCTTCATCTCTTACTGCTGACATTATCTCCAGTATTTGGCTAAAACAAAAAAAGAACAATCAATTCCCCAAGTGTATATTTATATTCTCTTTTAAAGTCTACAAAGGTACTCAAAAGTCTCCTTACTAGTGCCTTTAACTAATAAGCAAAGCTCAGTAATTAGACGTTTTAGCAATATGACTAAAGTTTAACTTATTATTGATAGATTATTTGAAATAATTAAAGGCAAATTTCTAATGCTGTCATGGATATAACAAGAGCCGAGTATCAGGTTCAAATCACCTGTCTTAAGTGCAGCACAATTATGAATGTAACTCAGTTGAAACATATTGGTAAGTCAGTAGTAATGAAGGAGAACGCTGGTGGGCCTAGTGGCAAGAAGCTGCGCTGCAATCCCGAAGGTGGTGGCGGTTTAAATCCACCAGATGCTCCGCTGGAGAAGGAGGGGCAATCTCCTCCTGTGCCAGCCAGATCTGATTTGATGGTACACAACAAGCGGAAAAAATCCCAAAGGTAAGCACGCTGAGGAAGGGTAAGTGCCGTTTCATTGTGGTTTTGTGTGTGGACAGCCCAGAGCTCCCTTCAGGGACAGGACGCTATGCTGTGCACTAGTTAGCCCAGTGACAGGAGAGGATTTACTTTGAAAACTTAGTCTTGATCCCACATTCTTTGTCCCTGTAAGCAACGAACTGTCTTCTAGTTTCTAGGCTTAGTGTAACTTGCAGGGTACTGCTTCTTAGCAGTTTTATACAAAAGTAGGATATTTTGTATACATGACTTTGTCAAACTTTTTATTCCCTCAAAGATACATTTTAAGGACAACATCTAAAGGAATTAGAAGAGATTTATGATTAACTGGAGTTGTTCCTTGTTCCTTTTCCAGCCACCAAAACTTTTTTGGCATCTAGACAGGGAATAAATGAGAGTAAATTTTTATTAACACCTATCATATGTGAAAGGGGGGGACCACAACCATCGGACAAAGAGCTTTTAAAGAATAAAGGAACATTATTCAGGAAAGGTAATTTTCATGGACACATTAGCCAGTTTCTCTTTGTTTGCACAAGCAGATCACTTAAAGCATCGCAAAATCCATGGCTGCCATCAGCTGGTTCTGACTTGGTGACCCAGCCGGATGCAGAGAACTGCCCTGCAGGGTTCCGAGGCATTGTCCCACTTCGCTGGAGCCGCTCAAGAGTTAGAACCGCCCTTTCCGGTAGCTGAACGCTTAACACTGTGCCAGCAGAACAGCTTGTTTGGAAATAGTGGCACATACTCATTTAACCAACACCAAATGGGCTGGTTATATTACATTTTTATGAACAGTAAGAATATGCAAAAATCTGATATTTAACCTAGCTCACTGCCATCAAGTCCAGAGTCTATTCCAAGTCACAGTGACCTTCTGAGGCTGTAAATCTATGGGAGGAGACTGCCCAGCTGCCTTCTGCAGAGCAGCTGATAGGCTGCTCACCAGGTCAGCATTTTGAGTCTGATATGTAACCCCTTACGTCACAAGAGGGGAGCTCTGCTGGCCTAGTGGATAGGAGTTGTGCTGCCAACCCCAAAGCACACATTTCTAATTCATCAGCTGTTCTGAGGGAGGAAGGCAGACAGTCTCCTACGTATGTGATTTACTGCCTCTGAAAAGCTGCTGGAGGGTGTGCTATGAGTTGGTTCCAACCTGACATGTAACAACAATCTAATTCTCTTAAGATGCCAGAATTGCCTCTCAACTACTGAGAACTCCCGATGGTCAAGGATTTTGAAGCACTCACAGCTTTGCTATGAAAGTCTCCTGGCGCCAAGCAGAACATTCAAACATTGTGTTAACTGTGCTGATAACGTTGACTGCAACCTTAGAACATTTTGCACTCAGCATTTACGTATGTAGATTCAGGAGCCTGCAAAGCTGCAGCTCGCCTGGAAAGGCCAGTGAAGTTCAGCATTTACATGGCATTTTTAGCTAGGCACAGGTTTTAAATGGCATGCCAACAGGAATCCAATTACAGGTGTTACTCCGTGTTTAGTACTCATCTACATAAAATACCAACACGCAGGGGAGTTCTGGCGGCATCTTTGTACGGAGTTGTGCTGCTAACGGTGCCACTGGCTGCTGGAATCTCCTAGCTGCTCCAAGGCAGAAACATGGGCAGTCTCCTCCTGTGTGATTTACAGCCTTCTGGAAAACCGACGGAGGATCGGCTGGGAGTCAGTTCCTACTCTATTGCAAACGAGTCCTAGCCCTGAGAAGGAGCAATGATTCAGGCCACCCCGCTCTCCTTCCCCACCCTTCCCCCACCGCCAGGCCAGCTGGTTTAAGAACAAAGCACTTGCTGCTGACAGTCCTTTGGGTCCTGATAAAATCTAAACTACTAAACTCGGCATTGAAAAGCCCTTGCAATCTGGCCTCACTCAGCCTTCCCAGACTTGCCTTCCTCCCCTCATCCCTGCATCCTACTTTTTGTCACACTAAACTCATTGTTCCCCTGGAACAGCAAGGCTCTCTGCTCAAGGTGATCGACTCTGGCTGGCCTGCCTCCTATCTGGGCTTAGAGAACCATCAAAATGCCACCTCAGTAGAGCTCTGTGGTCCCAGTGGAACACACCCTCCACAGGAGTACTGCAGCCTGGGCTCTTATCCATGTGCTTGTTCACTCCAGGAGGGCAGGGATCCTTGTCTGATTTGATAAAATGTCATACCCACAGTCCTGGTAGGATGTAGGTCATAGTACAAGAATGACGATGGACTGTGTGTAACCTTAGTGACATGTATGCAACCTCCAACATGTTCCCAGGAATTTAAAATCTAAAAAGGAATAAAGGCTTCTGCACAAATAATTACAAGGTAAGACTCATGGTGGGATGGAGGATGATACAAATGTAAGAATTGCTGATTTGTAATTAGCACTGTACCAGAGGCATGTGCACTTGGGAAATGTGGTTTAAATGTTTGCAATCATAAATACTCATTTCTCCAAGTTCCACCTATTTATACTGACAGTTGATCCACAGCTATTACAGTTCTTAATACAAAGCCCCCACTACTGTGAAGTGATTGAGTCTGCTACCCCATCAGGCTGTGGATCTTGACTCTGGCGGAGTGCCTGCCTGGGGACTCAAACTGCCGACCTGCTTGGTGCAGCAAGCTGCTGCCATGCCATCGGTGTCTTTGGGGTAACTGTCTACGTGTAGAAACATCTGAAAATTTGGTCTTGAAAAGCTACAGCTCAATTCAGCATGACCTCACCTCAGACAGGCTGTTTAGAAAACACCCTTGGTCACCCTGCTGCCAACTATTCCCTCAGCTGAGTGCTAGCAAAAAGGCCACTTCTTTCCAAAGAATTATTCAGAAATATTGTCTTCTGACTCAATTTGCATGGTACTTAAATTTCATAAAAATTGCAAGTGATTGTTTGCTAACCAGAATTGAATATTTCTACCCCTATGAGCGTATAAAGCATTCAGTTTTAAAGTCTTTGCCAGCCCCAGTGTATAAAGGAACTTTTCATATCGTATCCTTCACTTTTGTTTTGCTGACTTTAAATATAGCTTACCTAAGAGGGACATCATGCTTAGGAAGGTGGAGGGACAGCACAGGAGAGGAAGCCCCTCGATGAGATGGATTGATTCCGTGACTGGGGTAATGGGGGTAGATGTGTCAGAGACAAGATTGGCACAGGGTAGAGCAGGGTTTAGGGTTGTACAGTGGGTCTGTAGGAGACACAGGTGACTTGGCACATAACAATACTCTTTGTCATAAAGGGAAAAAAACTAAAGAAAGATGGCTCATAACAACTTCAGTGGCATCAACTCCAACTCAGCCTTGGAGCAATCCTATAGGACACAGTCTCCATGGCCACCAGAGAGGAAACCCCTCAACAAGATGGACGGACACAGTGACCGCAGCAGTGGGCTTAAGTGTCAGATGACGAGAATGGCGCAGGAGAGGTCAGGTTCAGATCTGTTCATAGGGCTACTATGAGCCACAGTCAACGGCACCAAACAACAAACTACAGCTCAGACTGACACACTTTACTGTGTAAATGGAAGGAATGCCAATCAAAATCAATAAACACATGTTTTTTATGGCTGTAATATGCCCAATTGTCTGAAGTAGTCAACCATACTGAATGATTCAATATTAATTTAATTATCTGTTTGTTCATACAACTTTGATGGCATTCCCATTAAAATGATCAAATCCTCCTAATAATTTTCCTTAAATATTCAACAGTCCCCTTTTCATATGTGATGATGATGTTCTTATATTCCATCGAGTCTCCTGCAACTCATAGTGGCCCTCTATAAACCCTACTCTATCCTGTGCCAATTTCACTGTCTCTGACAGTGACACCTGTCCCCATTTCCCCAGTGATGAAATCAATCCACCTCATAGAGGGTCTTCCTTTCCTGTGCCATCCCCCCACCCTCCCAAACATGATGTCCCTCTCCAAGGACTGGTCCCTCCTTGCACCATGTCCAAAGTATGTCAGACGAAGCTTCAGAATCCTTGCCTCCAAGGAGCAGCCTGGTTTAACCCTCTCTAGGCTGAACCAGTCTGCTTTCTTAGCAGTCCATGCTACATTAAATACTCTTCTACAACATCACAGTTCAAAGGCATCAATTCTTCTATCCTCCCTAGTCATTGTCCAGCTTTCTGATTCATAGCAAGTGATTGTAAAGACCATGGCCTGTATCAGACACACCTTAGTCTCCAGAGTGACACCATTGCTCTTCAGTACTTTGGAGAGGTCCCTAACGGCAGACTTTCCCACCTCAATACGTCTTTTAATTTCCTGGCTGCTGGTGCCAAGAGTGTTGACTGTAGAGCCAAGCAAACTAAAGCTGTGAACAATCTCAATCTCTTCACCATCCATCCTGATGCTGCCAATTGGCCCAGTGGTGAAAATCTTTGCTTTCTTGATACTGAGCCTCAATCCATATTGAAGGCTTCAGGTTCTCAGTTTCAGCAAGCAGGGTTGTGTCATTTGCATAATGCAGATTGTTGATAAATCTTCCTCCAATCCTGATGCCACTCTTCTCCTCATACAGCCCAGCCTCCTGGATAATCTGTTCTGCATATAGATTGAAAAGGTATGGGGATAGGACACATCCCTGGCGTACGCCCTTCCCAATTTTGAACCATGCAGTGTTTCCTTGCTCTGTTCTGATGACTTCCTCCTGGTCCAATTACAGTTTTCGCACTAGCACAATCAAGTGTTCTGGGATTCCCATCCTTCTCAGATTCAGCCACAGTTTGTTGTGGTCTACATAGTCAAACACCTTTGCATAATCAATGAAACACAGCCATTCCTAGATAGCCATTCCTCTGGTACTCCCTGCTTTCAGCCAAGATACATCTAACATTAGCTACAATATCCCTAGTACCATGACCCCTTCTAAACCCAGCCTGGACTTCTGGCAGTTCTCTGTTTATGTGCTATTCCAGTTGTTTTTGGATAATCTTCAGCAGAACCTTGTTTGCATGTGATATCAATGATATTGTTCAATAATTTCTACACTCTGCTGGGTCACCATTCTTTGGAATGGGAACAAATATAGATCTTTTCCAGTCAGTTGGCCAAGTGGTTGTTCTCCAGATTTCTTGACACAACTTGGTGAGCACATCTAAGGCAGCATCAGATGAAATACGTCACTTGGTAAACCATCAATTCTTGGGGCCTTATTTTTTGCTATTTCCTTCAAAGCACCTTGAAGTTCTTCCTTCATCACCATAGGCTCTTGCTCATATGTTGTCTCATGAAATTCATCTGTCTGCCAATTCCTTTTGGTACAATGACTCTGTATACTCTTTCCATCTTCTTTTAATACATCCTGGGTCATTTAATATTCTGCCCAAAGCATCCTTAAGTATAGCAACTCATGGTTTGAATTTGTTCTTCAGTTCCTGAGCTTAAGAAATGTTGAGCAAGTTTGGCCCTTTTGATTTTCTGACTCCAGCTCCTTGTACATTTCATTGTAATATTTTACTTTGTCTTCCCACACTGCCTTTTGAAATCTTCTGTTCAGCTCTTTAATATCATGAATTATTCTCTCTGCTCTCTTCTCAGAACTCTAGTGCAATATCCAGAGTCTCTTCTGATATCCATTTTGGTCTTCCTCCTCTGTCTCTGTAATGACCTTTTTACACTCTTCCTGGATGATACTCTTGATTTCCTCCCACAACTCTTCTGGTCTGTTATAATTAAAAACTGATTCTGATTTGACCCCCTTTATCCATGAAATTCTGTAAGGAAATACCCTTTTCTGGTGCTTGGAAATGGAACCCTCATACCTTTGCTCAGAAGCTTAAATCAAGGTGCTATTTCTTAATCATTCAGGCTGTCCATTTAAAAATGCTAAAGTACAGATACTTTCACAAGGAGGTTACTGTTAATATTGCATTTTTAGAAAAAGCAGGGAAGTCACAGGACTTAAGCCATGTGAACAGCTTTAAAATTTTCTGTCTCCGACCAAACAACAGCCAGACTCACATGTGTCTCACCCATCACCCAGCCGCAAGAAAAATGATTCTGTTGAGAGGATCCAGAAAGAGGATCTAGAGTAATTCAGTGCAGGCTCCTTCCAGTCACTGCAGTGCAATGTGTGGAGGGTTCAAACCTGAAGGAACTTCATTTGATCCACAAACTTTCACCAGCTAATTATGCCCTTCCCCCTCCTCCTTTCCATTTTATAAGTGGCGTCTGGTGGCTGATTTAGTATTTCTTAGTTGTTGTTAACCGACCTAGAGCTGACCCTGCAGCGGGTTTTCAGAGGCAGTTAATCTCACGGGAGGAGATTGCCTGACAGAGCAGTCGGTGGATTCGAACCATGTGCCTTCAGGATTACAGCACAGATTCTTACCACTAGGCCCCCAGAGCTCCGTTAGCATCTTTGCAGAAAAGCTCTGAAAGCAGAATACGTACATTATATGGCAAGGCTCATTTCTGTCTTTCAGGCAGTGCCCACTTTCCCACTTCTTCTTGGTTGGGAAGGACGTTTTTATGTATTTTGATCCTGCATGCGTGCCTTTGACTCCACACCATGGGGCATCTAGGGTTAAGCAAAGAAAAAAGAGCCTCTTAAAGTTCTGTTTTCAAAATAATTCTTTAAAATTCCAAAGTCATTAAAACATATTCTTTAAAACATAACCTACTATTCTAGTCAGCCTCAAAAGAGGCAAAACGTAGCTCTCAGAGCAATTTGAGGAAAGCTGAACCAATAGGTTGTATTATAGAACTTACTGCCCCACAAACCCCTGCCCTGCTAACAATATTGGATTGTGGCATATTTATTTTAAAAAAAGACAAACCTGTTTCACCAAAGGGTGCATTTTACATAAAGCAACTTTGCTCTACAACAAAACCCCCACCCCCTAAAAAAGCCCGAAAAACCCTACTCTAAAATGGACCTCCGGTGGTGTGGTCTGTAGGACTTTCACTGCTAAACTTTTAAAAATATTTTTGCTAAAAGTATAAGTTTTTTCTTTATGTGACTATAGGGAGCACTGGTGGCCTAGTGACTAGAAGCTGCACTGCAACCTTAAAGGCACGGGGTTCAAATCCACCAAGTGCTCTCTGGGAGGATGGGAAGTCTCCTGTGTGATTAACTGCCTCTGAAAACTGGCTGGAGGGTCAGCTAAGGGTTGGTTTCCACTTGACACTAGACAACAAGTGACTGTGGTTGTTTTTACTATAGTTGTTTAATATTAAAAGGAACACACATGAATAGAGTGTAAAGTGAGGTCTAGGGATTCACGCCACAGAGATTTCATGTCCTACCTGCATCTCTGTCACCAGCCAGGGAGTTCTTGACTTAATGAAGGATATTTTTCCAGAACAGTTTGGTCTATTAGAGTTCATGATAGCAGGACAAGGAAGCCTTGGATTCTAGGATTGAGATAATATTTGTAGCTTCTGTGTTTTATTTTAGGAGGCAAACGATGGGATTTTTTCTTGTTATTAGCTATTGCCAGTGGCCCCCAACCCATGGTAGTCCTGTGCACAATGGCTTGAAATCTGCCTGGCCCCCATAATGTTTTCATTGGCTAATTTCTAAAATAGATTGTCAGGCCTTTCTTCTTAGTTCTTCTGAAGTCAGAAAATCGCCCTAAAGCCGGTTCAGCATCATAGCACCATGCAGTCCACCAAGTTGTAGTTGTACAAAGTACCCTGTCTTAGACCTACACCTGGGTCTCCTGCACTGAAGGTGAGGTTTCTACCACTGAACTCAATGCCTCATCCTTACATTCTAAGTTACTGTCCACTTTATTTAAAAGTGCTGTGCAGAGTTCATTTATAATTATAAATGTCGCTATCTAGAAAATACTTTTATAAGTCATTTTAAAAATACTGTATAAAAATTCTATTTGAATAATTTTTCAAATCCTGAGGAAATGCTTGGGCAAGACTCATTGTTTAAATAATTTAACTATAACCTAAATTCTTAGTTAACATGTTTCCTGACAGCCACTTTTAACTGTTTAACTTAGTTAAACTTGTAAAGTTAAAAAAACCACTTGCATTACTAGTTTTTCATTTTTGATAGTCTTCAAAGGTCTGCTGAAAATTAGGATTGTTTAAGTTGAAAATATTGTTTGTTTAATAACAGTTCAGATTTTCTTCCCCACATAGTCTTTTTGGTTGTGCTCATTTAATGCAAATTAAAATTTTAAAAACTAAAACTTACCAGTCTCAATCATTAATTTTTCACTAGGTATTGACTTCAAAACTTCTAAGTTAGCCTCAGTTTTCAGTGAACTAAAAAAGAAATAAAAATCAGGCATACACACTAATGTGCAGACGTAAACAGGTGGCATTTACTTTTTCACAGAAACTTAAGTTACTAAGCTTTGGCACACTGCTATTAAACCACCTTTTCTCTTTAGAAAGTTACGTGCACAGCTGTATTACAGAATTCAAACTGAGATCCATTCCAACTAGATCTTACCTTCAGTGGGATGTAATTTTTCCTAATGTTCGGTGGATTCTTTAATAGTGCTTTGTATCATCTGAAATTTGCTTAACTTGGAGGTGCTGGCTGTCTGATGAACATCTTACCATCGTTCATGGGTCAAAGACACAGGGATTCACTGGCGTGAGGGAAGAAGTAGTACATACTGAGAAAGAGTGTCTTAACAAAAGATGAAAGTCACAGGTGCTGTTAGAACCGTGGTTTCTTTACAAGGAGATGCCACCTTGATTCTCCTCCTCTTTGCAGGCAGCCCTCCCTGCCCTCTACCTGGAAGGTGAGGTTCTCCCACTTGCATTTTTGTTCCCAAGCTTCCTGATGGGTACTTGTCTTTGGGTACTCCCTGTTTTCCATCCGCAGGGCACTTTCATCCTTCCCATTTTGACTGGCCCTCTCCCAACTGGAGGGAATAATACTTACAGAGGGATTTCCTGCCCCACTACTTCTTCCTGAGACTTTCATTAGGTAGATTTTAGAATTCTTGAAATTAGTGGATTAAGCCATTTTGTCCATATATTCTTCATGGAAGATCCCCTTGACTTTAGTTTTCACTGGCCTCATTCAATTCTTTGCACTCTATAAGAATTTTCTGAATGCACCCTGCAGTGATTTCCTGGAGGAAAGAATGAACCTGCCCCTTGACTGCAAAGCTTGTTTGGCAGTGGATGTCAAGGCCAAGCAAACTAAAGCTGTTAACAATTTCAATCTCTTCACCATCTATCATTGATGCTGCCAATCGGCCCAGTGGTGAGAATCTTTGTTTTCTTGATATTGAGCTTCAATCCATATTTAAAGCTGCAATCCTTGACTTTCTACAACAAGTACTTCAGGTCCTCTTGTTTCAGCAAGCAGGGCTGTGTCATCTGTACAATGCAGACTGTTGATGAGTCTACCTCCAATCCTGATGCCACATTCCTCCTCACAGAGCCCAGCCTCCCGGATAATCTGTTCTGCAAATAGATTAAAAATGTATGGAGATAGGACACATCCAGGAGTACATCTTCCCAATTTTGAACCATGCAGTGTTTCCTTTCTCTGTTCTGACGACTGCCTCCCGGTCCAAGTAAGTACAGGTTTCATAGAAGCATGATCAAATGTTCTCAGATTCCCATTCTTCTCAGAGTCAGCCACAGTTTAGATTGTTATAAATTATGGAGAGATATAGCAAAATGGTTGCTTCAGGAAAGCTGAGTTAGGGATAGAGGACAGGGGGCTGTGTCTTTTGGAACTATCTGACTTTTCAATTAATATGCATGCATTCCCTTACATATCAATCTACACAATTATTAATTCAGACTACAAAGCAGCTAGGATCCTGGAGCCCTGGTAGTAAAGACTTGCACTTCCAACTCAAAGACACAAGGTTCTCTCAAGATTCACTGCCTCTGACAGCCTGCTAGAGGGTCAGCTATGTGTCGGTTCTGACTTGGTGGTACACAACAATAACAAGAGAGTTAAATCGTCTTAACTCTACAACAGACAATTCTATGGTTATATTTTACCAAGAAGATTTTAGTTAAAATGATGTAATCAGAAGGTAATCTTAGGGAATGATGCACTGAAGCAGGGAAACAGGCTTCTATTATTTTGCAATTTACAGAATGAGACCCATGGACAATATGTGAAGAGACTGATGGGAGCTATCGGCGTCTGGACTCAGGGCCCTGGGCTGAGCTCTGCAGGCTGGCGGGACAGAGTATGTGAAGCTGAGCTTGGCTTTACAGCAGAAATGTTACAGAATGAGAAGCCGGGAGACACACGCTTCAGCAGAAAGCTCTGTGCTCCTGAGCGACTTGATGCTGTTTGTGAGCTGCTCTGAACCTCTCAGGCTCTTGGTCTGTGGAGCTCCGAAGACGATCAGGCCCTCGTCTAACCTTCGCCCTGGTCCCCATCATCCCTTGTGCATTAGCACGTGCGATGCCACGAACACCTGTATTCTAATAAAGGCTCGGAGGGAATGAAGCAGACCGCTACAGTGATGCTGAAGTCAACACAATTGTGTTTCATCTCTGAAACACTGGGTGGTCTATACCTATCAGGCTTGACCTCTTTATCATGTTCTATTTAGTTTCTTCTTGTTGCGTACCGTAGAGTTGGAATCGACCCCTAGCTGACCCAAGGCAGTTAATAGCATGGAAGGAGATGGTCCATCCTTCTCCTGCAGAGCAGCGGGTGGCCTCAATGTGATTACTGAAATTTCTAAGCAAAGATCAATGAAAAACAGGCACAAATTTAATGAGAGACTTAAGTCTTTAGCCGGCAATTCACTGTAAAACAATTTAAGGCATCTGCTTAATATAAAAGTAAAAACCAACAGACAACCTAAGCACGTACCAACCGTTGACCCCTATGTACAGATCCAGGTCAAGCAGGGTGATGGCCGCTTCCTTGGTCCCGTCGAATGAATGCACCTAAGGACACAGTGTAATGGTTTTACTGGAACAGTTCTGGGGAACACTGATTAGACTTTCTAAGCAAACATGCAGATGCACAAAGGATTTTTGGGCCTCAATGTTTCAAATATTGTGGCCCTTACAATGTGTTTTCAGATCAGATAGCACAATTATAACCTGTCATCATCTCCACTGACATGGGTGGGGGGGAGCGAGCTGCTGAGAATCTCTGCTGTGGCCTCAGTGCAGGTTCGTCCAGGAGGAGGGGCTGAGACACGGAGCTGTCGTCTCCATGCGGGCCTTGCTTTGCCAGGCCGTGAAACTCCTGACAGGCTGCAATCGTACCACTTTTTCATCACTCATTTTGTTCCTTTGTGCTGTCGAGTTAGGACTGGCCCACACTTGACCCTCCAGTAGGTTTTCAGAAGCTGTCAATCATGAGAAGATTACCCAGCTTACTCTGACAGAGCAGTGGATGGATTCAAACCAATCACCTTTGAATTGGGAACACAATTCCTTACCATTAAGCCATCAGAGCTCCTTTTCACTCATCTTAGTGGAAAATATTTGCATTTTCCTTCTCTGATAGTTTCTGTCTTATCTAAGTTCTGGCTTTTGTAATTTTTACTGTTACTGAATCATTTAAGTAAATTCTTATTTAGAAATACAGCAAATGAGCTAAGTTAAAAGCCATCAGGAATCTCAAGGGTATTAAATCTTCTCCCCATTCCAAAGTACAATTGCTAAAGGCTACATCACAGGTCAGGAAACCAGAGAAAAATGTGCACAGTAATGTTGTTGTTGTGTACCAAAGAGTCTGAACCGACACACAACTGACCCCCTGGCAAGCTTTCAGAGGCAGTTAATCGTAAGGGAGGAGACTGCTCATCATTCTCCCGCAGAGTGCCTGATGGTCTCGAACCATGTGCCTTTGGGATTGCAGTGCAGCTTCTTGCCAGGTCACTAGAGTGTCCTGTAATGTTAGCGCCACAGAAATGCAGAAGACATACGTACTGTATGACACTATGGCAGATGCAGTGATGCAACCTGAGGGACTCCACTGTCAGAGGCTATCAGGAAGCTGCAGTGCGATTACTTCTTTAGGGGGTGCGTGTGTGAAGCACACACTAGAATAACAGCCTTTTCACCACAGAACACTAAGTCTCTAATCAAATGGTAGTTTTTAAAAAGTGTGTACAGTGATACTTTTCCACCAGGCAGATTTTGAAAAGAGTCCATGACTCAATAAAGATGAGAAATTTCAGCTATGGGTGCATGAAGGATGTGGCGGGCAGGTATTCCTGGGGACCGACTGCAGTGACCATCTGGGAGCAGCGCTGACAGCAGAACGCAGAGATGGAAAAGAGAACGAGTTTACAGATCAAGCGGAACAGCACGTGAACACAGCTCGCAGAAAGTTCAGACGGCACACCTCAAACAGGGCTACTTGAAAATACTAGAAAAAGTGCAAAGTTTGCTTAACATTTGTGTTAGAAACCACTGAAGAATGACTCATGGAAAAAAGAAGAAACAAGATTGTCTGACACTTAACACATCTGGTGGCATAATGTGCTGGGCTGCTGACCAAAAGCTCAGCAGTTCGAATCCACCAGCTGTTCCTTGGAAGAACAATGTGCAGTCTCCTCTCACTATGATTTACAGCCTCAGAAAGATAGAAAGTCACTATGAGTCAGAATGCGCGTGATGGCAGCAGGCTTGTAAATCAAAGTGTGAGTTATGCTCCTATCGTACTGGCCAACAGATACAAGAGTAAGATTTACAGGTCTTTAAAACAATTTCGTAACTTCACTGCTGACGTGGGAATCACTTTAAGGTTAATTTGAAACCAGGATGCTTTTGTGCACCATGTACCAAAACTACTATGTTATACTCACCACTCCCCCTACGCATCGGTCTCTATTTCTTTTCATTATGTCTGTGGGTAAATGACAAACAGAAAGATCATTTTGAAAAAAGCCTGACCAGTTAAATTTTTAAAAGAAAAGTGAGAATGTAGTTTTTTTCTCACCCAGAAATTCAGCATGTGAGTTTCGACAATGAAGAAACATTGGCAATTTTGTTTGTTCTGACAGTTCAAACTGTTTTTCAAAATACCTGCATATGCAAAAAAATTTCCTCATTAAAATTTTATTTTAGCATGAGAGAAAGAATTATGTCCAACAACTTTAATATAATTTTATTACTTTCAAATTATCAGGATAGTATTTGAATAGTACATTCAAGCATCTGAAAACTTCAGGCTTCAGGGCTTTTTCAACGAAGCTTCTAGAAAGTGGTACTTCATTTTCAGCAAAGAGAAAAGCATCTTAGCAAGTCTTATCTAAATTATTTTCTGAAATGTCTGTTAGCCTTTCCACTATAATTGCCAGGTAAGAAGGTAGCATTTTACCAACTTACTTTTCCATGGACCCTTGGAAGCATAGAGCTGGTACGTTTATATTTAGAGCGACCCAGGAAGCTCTCAAGAGCAGTTATTTTCAACTACTTTTCTTCCAAAACTCAGCAGAAGGGACACCCTGCAGCAGACACTGGTCGTACGACACAGGCTAGTGTATCCAGTCACATGACCTGGCCAAATGCACAACTACCACAATTCAATCCGTATAGTGAACAAATCGTCCATGAAGCTGGGCTAGATGAAGAAGAAGGTGGCATCACGACTGGAAGAAGACTCATCAACAGCCTATGTTATGCAGATGACACAGCTTTGCTTGCAGAAAGTGAAGAGAACTTAAAACATTTGCTGTAGAGGATCAAAGGCTATAGCCTTCAATATGAGTTACATCTTAACATCAAGAAGAAAAAATTCCTCACCACCAGGCCAACAGGCAATATGACAGATGGAGAGAAGAGTTAAACTGTCAATGATTTCATCCCTGGATCCACAATCAACATCCTTAGGCATCAGTCATCAGGAAATCAAAAGACATATTGCACCGGGGAGTCTGCTCTCAGGGATCATTTTCAAAGTGCTCTAAAAGGCAATGATGTCAGTGGAAAAACTAAGGTGCATCAAACCATAATCTTTTCAATTACTTGTAGGCAAAATGGACAACGAGTAAGGATGACAGAATTGATGCCATGGAGTTGTGGTGTTGGAGAAGAGTGCTGAATATCCACAGAGTGCCAAAGGACAAACAAGTATGTCTTATCAAAGGTGCAGCCAGGGTGTTCCTGGAGGCAAGGATACTGACATCTCACCTCAGCTATTCTAGGCATGTTATTAGGAGGGGCGGGTTCTTGGAAAAGGATGTCTTGCTTGGAAAGGTGGAAGGTAGGTGACAGAGAAGACCCTCAGTGAGATGGACTGACACAGTGAGTGTAACGGTGGCCTTGAGTATGTCAGAGGTGGACAGGACACTGCAGGGTTCAGATCATTGTTCACAGGGCTGCTATGAGTTGCAGTTAACTCAATGACACTTAACAACAACAACAACAACAACAACAACAATTCCATCCATAACACCATTGCTCACAAATATATTTATTTTTTTTTCTTTTTTTTTTCACAAATATATTTAATCCATTCCACTGGAATGGTTCACAGATGAATGCATTTGCTAAACAACTATAAAAAGAGTCTATCATGCAAAATGCATTTCTTATTTCTGCGATTATAATAAAAATTCTATGAGTAATTAAGCAGGGAAGTATATGCTGCTATCATTAATGAACGTAAGGATGCTAGAGGCACAGTGGTTAAGTGGTTGGCTGGTAACCAAATGTGGGCAGTTTGAACCCTCCTAGCACAGAAAGAAAAAAAACAAAAAACTGGTGATTTGCTCCTCAAAGACCACAGCCAAACCCTATAAGGCAGTCACACTGTCACATGAGGTGGCCATAAATTGAAATCAATTCAGCAGCACATATAACACAAATTTATGAAAGATACATAATTATGAATTACATGCAAGTATTTCATTTTACTTGGGTCCACAGTCAACACACATAGTAGCAGCAGTGAAGAAATCCTAAGACTGATTCACACTGGGCAAATCTGCTGCAAAGGACCTCTTTAAAGTGCTAAAGAGCAAAGATGTCACTTGAAGGACCAAGGAGTGCCTCACTCAAGCAATGGTATTTTCCGCTGCTGCTTCAATATGGATCTGAAAGTTGGACAGTTAATGAAGAAGACTGCAGAATAATTACCGATGCCTTTGATTTGTGGCCTTGGTCAAGAGTCTTGAATAGAACATGGACTACCAAGAGAACAAAGCAGTGCATCCAGGGTGCTCTTGAGAGGCAAGGAGAGTGAAACTCGGTCTCACACACTTTGGGCATAATATCAGGAGGGGCCAGATCTTAGAAAAACATCATTGTTGGAAAATGAGAGAGTCAACAAAAGAAGCTTCAACTTGATGGCTGGGACAGTGACTGCAACAGTGGGCCCAATCATGGCAGAGAATGGGACGATGGCAGGTATCGAGCAATGTTCCAATCAGCTGCACACAAGTCACTATGACCTGGAGTCGACTCCGCAGCACTGAACAACAACAACATGCAGGTATGCACGAAATCTGTCTCACCTGACTTTTGATAATCAATGGGGGGAAAAGCAAGCTAATTTGACGCTTAATCAGAGGGTATTCTCAAGTGGTAAAAGTTACTACAAATCACTTTCCTAAAATTCACAGTCATTTCAACAGTCATCATAATTCCTTACTTGAGCTGAGTCTCTTTGGGACAAAACTGCAGTCGGTCGAAATCTTTAAGATAAAAAAACAGAAGAATCAGTATTTACTCAAGATGTGTGTAGTTCCATCACTTCTGAACCCTCCCGAGGTAAGGCCCGCACTTACCAAGTCCACATTCCCCTATTGCTACAACTTTCCCCTTGTTGTTCTCAGCGAGATTTAGTAACTCCTTCAAATATAGGTCAGGGTTGTTCTTTTCAAATTCACCACATCTTGTTGGATGACATCCAACGGTACTGAAGAACATATCTAACACAAAGTAATACCTTAAGGTTACTTTCCACAGAATTGTTCTTATTTATAGTTAACATTCTAAAAATGGGAACATATAAATTTATTCCAACTAGTTAACTTCTACCATCAGGAACAAAATGATTCTAACTTGATTTAAATTAGTACCTGAACTGAACTACCTTAATCACTTAAGAATTTCTGAGCTATCTTAGCAAATTAGGAAGTGAACCTGAAAACTGTTTTAATGGACTGATAAAATTAACCCTGCTTTCCCCTCAAATTTGGTATTTACTAAGTTTGTAGAATGGCAAATGAAACAGTTACCTGAAATGTATAATTTAATCCTTTGCTGTTACTGTTGATGTAACTGCCTTAACACACGTTTAATAGAAGCTCGCGTTAATAAGGGAGCTCTGGTGGCATAGTCTGCAGGGAGTGGTGCTGCTAAACCAAAGGCAGTGTGTCTGCGGCAGTTTGAAACCACCTCCAAGTCCACGAGAGAAAGATGGGCAATCTCCTCCTGTGCACAACTTGCTAGGGGGTCAGCTAAGAGTCCCTTCCGACTCATGGGCACTGAGTCCCTCTGAGTAAGCAGTTAGTACGCAGACCCACTACAAAGATTAACAACAGAAGGACAAGTTTACAACAAGGACAGGTTTACACTGGTGAACTGGAGGTATGTTTTTCTAAGAAAAATCTCAGTCATTTGGAAGCCAGGCATGGGCACCTTTAATGGTGTGGAACATAAATATGAAGTCAGAATGAGAAAAGTTTCTGGGTCTCCTCTCAATCCCTTGTGCTGGCATCTAAGCCACAGGAGAGGGGAGGACCTAGCCTCAGTCTCTCAGACAGACGCTTACACGCAAAACCAAGGCAGTAGATATCGGGCAGCAAGGATTCAGTCAGTGCTCACGGGAGCAGCAATCAGAGCTTCAGATGAGGACGGGAGCTCTGAAACAAGTGTGCCTGTGGGGGCTCAACGAAGTATGGAAGAGAACATTCCCACGCACGTCAACAACTTCAGAGAAGATGGTTCTTTTTAGGACTATAACAAAAGTGCCAGTGGATTTTGAAAAGAAGTATGCACTTCAGTGAGACTTCCACTCAAAAGAGCTTTGAGTGAGTTTTCAGACAAAAAGGAACAACATATCAACATCAGCATTTTGAGAGATGAGGAGGAAAGCTTCATATGCCTCATGCTTGAAGCATGAAAAAATTAAAAAAAGAAATGTGAAGTCGGACTTAGGAGAGGTCGTATATAATTAAAATTTTTTAAAAAGTTTGAGATTTTAAATTATGCAAAATGTATAATCACAAAATGAGCATGAGGAATTAAATCCTATTCTCATGTGTATGTCTGGGGCCATGTACACATAATACATTTTCTGTAGATTATCTTTCACAACTTTAAGTTACAGCAAGTAAAAAGGAAGTACTTTTTAAGTACATTAAAACATACGAATTCTATATAAAATACCTGCGGTTAAAAATTATGTGCTTGGTAAACTTAATTATCATTAACTAAAATCTTAAACTTTAAGTATTATAGAAACATATTTTTTGGAAGCTCATGATGAGAAAGTTCAATTTTTAAAAATGCATTTATTCTGCTATTGTTGAGAATACATACGGCAAAACAACTACCAATTCTTCAGTTTCCACACACACTGCTTAGTGACGGTGGTTCCCTTAGTCTCGCCATGGAACCGTTCTCCGGCTCCTTTTCTAAGTTGTTCCTCCCTCAGTGCCCCTAAGATTCCCATCCGATTTTTAGTTACTGCTGTCAATTGATCTCATATGATAATTCTTAAGACAGCATTATGTTTAAGGAAAACTTTTTAAATTTTTTTTTATTATTAATTTCAAGGAAAATTTACAGAGACTTTGGAATTCCATTCATTCATTGTTGCACTTTTCTTCCTGCCCACCCTTCCACCCAGGAAATCTTTCTTATATTTGTTAAGCTAAATGGTTTGATTTTAAGATGATTTCAAGGGATATTTATGTATTAAAGTTAAAAGACTGTCTCAGAGCAATAGTTCCAGGGGTTCACCTACCCTCCATGACTCCAGAAAGTCTCCATGAGTATTTAAAATTCAGTTCTGCATTTACCCTCCTTTTGATCAGGATTCCTTTATAGTGGCACCATCTCCTTCTCCCCTAATGGCACAGGGGACAGCTGCTCATGGAAGCAATCAGCCACATATTCCATTTCCTCCTCCTATCCCTGACTCTCCTTTTTCCTCTGTTGCTCTAGATGAATAGAGACCAACTGCTGTGCCTGGACAACTTCTTTCAAGTTTCTAAAGACCCTAGGCACTACACGATAAACTAGGAAGTAGACAAGAAGCACTAAACATTAGCAGGCCAATGAACTGGGATGTCCCATGCAACCTAAGTCTCCAAATCAAGGAACCAAACCCTGTGAGACGTTTGGCTATGAGAAAGTTTTGATATAATAACTGGTATTTTGAAAGTTTTACATCTTAACCACGTCCCATTGAAATCAATCCATTTTGCTGTTATTTTCACAGTCATGAACCATTGTATTATACCTGAAGCTTTTCTCAGAAAGACTTCTTCAAAATAAGTTAATTCATATGTTTTTTTTGTAAAATTAATATGAAGATACCATTTGTTTGTGCCAAATGCAGTGCATCTTTACTGTCTTGTAGACTCCCACCTGTAATCATAAACTGAAATTGGAAGAAACAAAGAAAGTAAGTGTGAGGTTAAAAAGGCATTAACAACAGTTCCCCAGATATGGCTGCCTGCTGCTGCTTTTCCCCAGAATGCCACTTTCTGTGAATGCTGTTCAGTCAAATTCAGCTCAAAGACCACTCCCTCCCCACCTTTATTCCTTATCCTAATACTTAGAGGTGTCATTTCCTATTAAAAATATTGAAATGGGAGGCCGTTTTTGAGAAGAATTCTCTCTGTCCTCCTAGGTCTGAAATAAAGTGCTTTGGATATTGAAAACAAACCAAACCAAACTAAAAATGTACATGCCTGTCTTTCTCTTAGAGCACAAATTCCTGTTACGAAAGGCTCAGTAACAAGAAGTAAAAGCTTAGAATTTAGAATTCCATTAATCTAAACCCACGTTTCAACATGCTGAGTAATTCAATGGTGCTCGAAGTGTTGCTCAGGAATGTCCAGATGGCGTGCCAGGTCAAAACTATCTTCATAATAATACTGTAATACTGAGAGGCTACTTGCCTTTTTTATTCTATCAAATTTCCCAGAGGGTACATGACATTAATCGCAATAGAATAACTATAGAAATAGAAGTGAAAATTCAGTCCTCTGTTAATCAGGCATTAATTGGGGAAAACCCCAACCTAATTCCACATACCTCACTCAAGTTTCTGGAAAACTTTTTATAAAAATTGGTTAACAGACAATATTCTAGCTAAGTGAGTCACTAAGTAAACATTGTTGGTTTCTCAGTTTTATTTTCCAGTAGATAATATATCACAGAGACAAAAGTTATTTGGCCTCTTCTGTGACTTTAAAGATTATAAAGGTGTTCAGAGACCAAGCTGGGGAATCATCAGGTAAATGTATCCCGATGAACTCTTTGTAGGAGAATTTGTGGCTTTTGGCAAAGTTTGCTTCTAGACTCCACTTTATGATGTATTAAAGTTATAATGAAACACAGTTTCACGGTACATCTTATTCTTAGTAATATGCTTTTGCATGTCATTTGCTGATGTTATCATTTTCAATTTCCATGAGCGGATGTTCCATCTTGTAATTTATCGCCCAAAACAGTTGGATTGATAAAGATATTGATAAACAATTATGTTACATTGGGGACTTGTCTGTATAGACGGCTGTTAGAGCCCACCCACTGGTGAAAAGTCACCTGTTAAGATAAAGATGCCATTTAAGAGCTATGTGGAAACAACCTAAGTGCCCATCAACAAACTAATGGATAGAGAAGCTGTGGTATAATCACACAATGGAATACTACCCTGCATTGAAAAACAAGGAACTCATGCAATTAGTATTCAAAGTAAGTGACCGTGGAGGACATTATGCTGAGTGAAGTATCTCAGTCACAAAAGGACAAATACTGCATAGTGCCACTGTTGTAAAACAGGACTGAGCTTGGGGTTGGGGAAAGACTGAGAAAGATGGGTTCAATAATGTATACTGCATTGAAACAGATGAGGGAGAAAGCTGTTTAAAAGGGATACGTGATTAGGTATTATTGTCATGACAGGAGTCCAGAGCAGAGGCTGCATAGCGGAGTGGACCTGGGGGGAGGGTTTGTAAAACAATGAAAGAATTTTTCTTTTACTTTTCCAAGAGGGGAGTGTACTAGGGGGGAGAGTTGGGAAGGAAGAAAAGTACAACAATGAATGAATAGAAATCCAAAGTCTCTGTAAATTTTCATTGAAATTAATAATAAATTAAAAAAAAAAAACCACCACAACACCCTGGGGGGCGGGGGGGGGAAGTGCTAATGAAATATCTATTCATAGGGGTTTTGAGTTGGAAAATGAATAAGGAAGAATGAAGAAGAGCTGATGCCTTTGGATTGTGGTGTTGGCAAAGAGTATTAAATATCTCATGGAATCCCAAAGAGGAAGTCTGTCTTGGAGGGAAGTGCAACCATCATGCACTTTAGAGGAAAGGATGGTGAAACTTGGTCTCACAACCTTTGGGCATGTTGTCAAGAGGCCATCATGCTGGGAAAGGTAGAGGGTCAGTGAAAGAGAGGAGGACAAGGAGTTGGACTGGCAAAGTGACCAGAACCATGAGTGGAGCATGGTGAGGATGGGACAGGACAGGACAGGGTTCAGATATGTGTTCACAGGGTCACTATGGGTGGGAGCTGATGGTGTCTAACAAATGAAATCTCTACACAGGGATTTTTAGAATGGCCTAATACTGATATGCTCAGAATTCTGTACAAGGAGTAAGAATTTTCATAATAATAAAATTACTACTGCAAAAGTTACAGTGTCCCCTTGGTCATTTTTTTTAAAATTTTTATTTTATTATTTTTACGTATGTGTACCATCAAATCAGATCTGACTGGTACAGGAGGAGATTGTCACTCCTTCCTCGGCAGAGCATCTGGTGGATTTGAACCATGTGCCTCTGGGATTGCAGTGCAGCTTCTTGCCACTAGGCCACCGGAGCTCCCCCACCTTGGTCATTTTAAATGGTTACACCCATCCTAGTCAGTAGTACCCATGTTGTTGTTGTTATGTGCCACCGAATCGTTTGCAACTCATAGCGACCCTGTGTACAAGAGCCCTAACAACATTCTATCCTGTGTCAACCTCATGTGTCTCAAACACATTCATTCCCGCCACTCCACTCAAAGAATCAATCCACCTCACCGAGGGTCTTCCTCTCCTGCTCCATCCCTCCACTCTCCCAAACATGATGTCCCTCTTCAAGGACCAGTACCTCCTTGCAACATGCCCAAAGTATGTCAGACAAAGCTTCAGAATGACTGCATAATTCTAACAAATGCTAACATATGCTTTTAAAGGTAAAAATAAATGATTTTTAAGAAACTTGGGTCACTCAGACAGACTTAAAAAAAAGTCACTCAAAGATAATCACCTAGAAGAACTACTTAGTTTGTGAACAAAGCTCTAGCATATACTATTTTGATATTTTATTACCATGAATTTGTTAGTATTTTATTACCATTAGTTTGTTAGTATTACATACAGATAGCAAATTCCTCCAAAAGGCCAACTGTGGCACTGGCTTTTTCTCTTTTATTCTGTAGTTTTAGCTAAAATTTCTGAAAACACAAGACTGGTAAGAAAACAGATGTTACCTTTTTAACACCCATCTGTACAGCTCTCTCTACTATAGCCTGAAAGTCATCTGCAAAAGATGGAATCCCACATTAAGAAAATTTTATAAATAACAATTCACTTAACTATATAATTTACCCCTTCCTGAAGGAAAAATGCACAGAAAAAGATCATATTAAGTCAAATGGTACTACTTGGCGAACACAAGTTGTTGCTGTGTACCACACTGGGTCAGACCCGACTCATAGCTCACCCTCCAGTAGGTTTTCAGAGACAGTTAACTGCATGGAAGGAGACTGCCATCTTCTCCCACGGAGCTGCTGCGGGACTTGAACCATGTGCCTTCAAGATTCAGTGCAGATTCTTGCCACTAGGCCACCAGAGGTCTGTCCCACTTTAACCTAATAATAATGTTGTTGTTGTGTGCCGTTGCATTGGAATTGATTCATAGTTGAACCATTAGTGAATTTTCAGAGATTGCACATGGGAAGAGACTGCCCATCTTTCTCCTGCAGAGCATCTGGTAACTCAGAATTGTGAACCTTTAGGTTGGTGGCAGAAGCGCTTCTCACTAGGCTATCAGAGCTCCCTCACCTCATAATAGAACTAGAAATAAGCTTTAAAAAGGAGAGGGAAGCCAACTGAAAGCAAATTAGTTGTGTAGCTTTCCATTTGATTCTATTTTTTTTATTATGTTGGGTAAAAAGGAGAGTAATAGAAATCAGGAGCTTTGAGCTTAAGATGAATTAGTTTACTAAGGCTTTTCAACAGAATTTCAAACTTGAATTAGTTTGTTGGTTTTGTGTGTGGTTTTTTTAAAATAATTGCTTATTTTTACTAGGCATTTTCTGAATAATCCTACAATATCTCCTAAAATATAGGGGAATGTTTCTTTATAAATCTTAGTTAATTCTATTTTAACTGAGTTTATAATGAGTCAATAATTTTTATAATTACCCTTTTCAAAGAAAAGTGTATTTATATCTTCCCTCACAGTTGTTTTTGGCTTTATCTCAAAATTTGTGTTAAGTACATAGCAGTGTCCAGGTTCTGAAGATCCCACGTACAAGTTTTACTTCTCTTTTAAACAGGGCTGTGAACCAGCAGAACAGACTTTGTCATGGTCAAAACAAAATCAAATGGGGACAGACTCAGATTTTTACAGATTGGATGATCTGTCACAGTAACTGGAACTGGAAAAATGATGGGTCAAAGCCCTGGAAGGGGATACCTGCAAGGTACAGAGAGCACTTTCAGAGCCATGATACCTGAGATTGGCTATTGGTAGGACTGTGGAGAACCACACACATTCAAAGTGCTGTGGCGAGCAGCTGTCTGTGAGCAGGTCACTGCCCTCTCTGAGCAGGTCACTGCCCTCTCTGAGCAGGACACTGCCCTCTGTGAGCATGGCACGGCCATCTTCAGCAGGGTGCTGCCATCTTTTAGTCAGGTAGCTTTGTTTCTATGCTACTTAAAAATTTCACTTAAAGGCAAAGTTAGGATATTAGATATTCATACTCTGGGAGGTGTCTGTAACAACAAGTTTTTCTGAAGGGATAAATAGTTACTAAACTCTGAACCATCTGAAAGAAATTAATAGGAACATTTAATAAGAAATCGTAAAAGTTCATGTATTTGTTTCATAATAAGTATCATAGTCAACGTGACTGGAATGAAATTATGTTCACTTCTAAAGGGCTCTGATAGCATAGTCAGTAAGGAGACACACTGCTCTGGCGGTTCAAATCCATCAGCAGCTCTGAGGAACAATGATGGATAATTTACAGCCTTGGAAACGCAATGGCAGGTATTTACTATGAGTTAGTTCTTACTCCTTGGCAGTGAGTTTAAGGATTTTTCCTAAAGTAGCTTTAAAATTTCTTCTGCACAAAAAATAGCAACTTTAACTAATACTAAGCACTCTCTGGTGGCTTAGTGCTAAGGGAATAAACTGTTAAACCAAGAGCAGGAGAGGGATGGGCAATCACCTCTCACACGATTTTACAGCCTCTGAAAACCTGCTGGAGGGTCAGCTATGAGTCGGAGCTGACTTCATGGCACTTGATAAAGACATTATTAAATAGGACAATCAGTCTTACTAGACAGCATCAACTGCAGTAATACTGACAGAGGCAACAAGACTTCATAAAAACACACATACATGTGCACACACAAAGCTGGAAATTTATTAAGTGCTACAAAGGCAAGAAAAGCAAAATATAATTTTTCAGATAGTCTGTAGTACAATGGATTGATTTTTCAAAATGGCTTTATTTGTCATTGGTTTCAACCCGTATGGCTGGGTGGGACTATGCTAATGATTTTGAATGAAGTGAATCACACCTTCGAGCAGGAGCATGCAAACAGTATGTGCAAACTACAAATGAAAGGATTGGTTTTAAGAGGCCAAAAAATGTGACTCTCACTACTACCACCAGGAAAGACGAAGTGTGTCCTTTTGGACCAGAAGTTCTTGCACTAGATGGAGACAGATCCAGACAGAGACATAACAGGAGCAGCCGAAGAGACTGTGCGAGTTCACAGAACTGAACTGCAACGGTTGCCTCATGGAGCCATAACGCAGGGCTTTCACCTAGGCTTGCTAGAGGCCTGATGGAAGGGGAAGTTACATCATAACTGACAGGACTAAAAGCCATGTAACACTGGTCTAAAACAGAGCATATCTTAGAAGCTGTCCTGAAGAACTGTAACCTGTTTTCAAACTGAACCTGTTATTCCCCGAAGAAACATTCATAATCATGAATGTAGTCTGAGAGTTCTGTGTGGCCACTGCAGTGCAAACCCCGAGAGGGATGGTTGGTGTTAGAAATGATGAAGTAGGTTTGAGGAGTGTGGGGACATGTCTGATCTTACAGAAGTCACTTCTGTGTTGTGAACATTGTTGAAGGGGACTTTCTCCCTTGTGGAGTTAGCGGAGGTCAGACTTGTTGTCCTAACATCCTGTTTTAATATAGTCAAACTCTAGTACACATGTCTGGAAGTTAAGCATACGGAAAGGTAATTTTTTTTTTAATTTCATGTGGCATTCAACATTCTTCATATTTAGGGAAATAGCCACTTTAAAGATAGGGAAATATTCACCTAGAAGCACAAGACCACCAGCTTCTGACTCATCTTTGAGAAATGTGCAATCTCACCAACATCCAGAGCCACAAAACTGAGCTTTCCTGTTTGCATTTACACAATGACAGTCAATTGTCCAAGACCGCATTCACAGATGAGTTTACAGAAGAACTTCCTGCCATCATTGCTTCCTGCTTATTCATCGTTCAGCTGCCAAAATCAGCCTTTAAAATAAACTGTCATAAGGGAGCTCTGGTGGCCTAGTGGCAAGAAACTGCACTGTAAACCCAGAGGTGCGCAGTTCAAATCCACCAGATACTCTGCTGGAGAGGGAGGGGCAATCTCCTCCTGTTCTAGTCAGATCCAATTTGACGGTACATACACACAAAATAATAAAATTAAATTAAAAAAAAAAATTTAAACCCTGTCATAATAAAAAGACCTTTTGCTTTGGCTAAGCTTTCCTTCCTTCTCTGAGGTATTATATAGAGTAGGTATAATGGAACAAAAAAGGGGAGGAGAGCCGATTAAGGAAGGCAAGAGAGTAGGGTACCTTAATCCTTGCTACTGTGTTATCCAGCTAAAAATGCTATTTGAAAAACTAGATATACCAAGTTCAACTGTTAATAATTATTGTATTATGTGCTATAATGTTGCGATGTTAGCCTAAAAGGAGGCTTTCTTTTAGCCATGAGAGTTAGCCCCCTCTGGTCTCCAGCTACCTTAATTGCAGACACATGGTCTTGCAAAACAACATGGTTTTGCAAATCATCAACAGCTGTGGGACTAGGATAAAAGAAAGAGTGCTTCCCACACTGGATAGCAAGACTTGTGCCAACAAGACTTGAGATGTCAAGACTTGATTGAGACAGGAGCAAGACCTTCATGAAAGCAAGACCCTGGTAGCAAAACCCCGGTGATGGTAGTGAGTATGTGAGATGGAGCTTCAAAATCCGAGCCTCTAAGGAGAAACTTGGTTTCACTCTCTCTAAGACAGAACTATTTGTTTTCTGGGCAGTCCATGGTATGTTCAAGACTCTTCACCAGCACCACAACTCAAAGGCATCAATTTTTCTATCATCCTTAGTCATTATCCCCCTTTCTGATGTATAGCAAGTAACTGCAAAGACCATGTCCTGGATCAGGCACACCTTAGTGTCCAGACTGACATTGTTGCTTTTCACCATTCTGGAAAAGTTCCTGACAGCAGATTTACCTAATGCTATTCATCTCTTGATTTCAGGACTGCTGGTGCCAAAAGTGTTGATTGTGGAACAGAGCAAGCTTTAACTGTTAACAATCTCATTCTCTTCTTCATCCATCATGGTGCTGCCAATTGGCCCAGTGGTGAGAATCATTGTCTTCTTGATGTTGAGCTTCAATCCATATTGAAGTCTACAGTCTTTGATCTTCTGCAGCAAGCACTTCAGGTCCTCCTCAGTTTAAGCAAGCAAGGTTCTATCATCTGCATGATGTAGGTTGTGGATGAGACTTCCTCCAATCCTGATGTCACATTCCTCCTGAGTGATCTGTTCTGCATATGTATTGAAAAGATGTGGAGACAGGACACATCCCTGATACATTCCCTTCCTGCATTTGTGTTAGCCACAGTTAAAAGGTTTTGCTGTTCTTGCCTTTGAGGATGGAAGGAAAAGCTGCTTGCTGAACTGAAACTGGTGCTTGGGCTAATTGAGAAATTGTGCCTGGGAACTTGGGATGAAGTCTGGATTTGTACTCGGTGATATTCTTTACCTCCCATACTCTCCAGCTTACTTCCCTAATAAACTTCATTCTTGCCCAGTACCACATCTGTGAGTCTGTGGGTCAACAATGGATGAACGAACCTCTTGCTGCTGCTGTGGCTCGGGAGGTACCATGGAGCTGGGCTATGGGCTCTTTATCTGCTATTTTCACCACCGCTGGCCCTTTCGGGGAGAGATTCATGGCCCTGTGGCCCCGTGTCACATTTTCTGCTCCTTAGGCAAGTGTTTTATTGGTTAAACTTATTAAACAAGCATGAACTACTCTTTGTCTTTTTGTGCATATGGCTATATTGTTCCTGAGCAAGGTCCCTGACACAGGGTAACTCAAAACACGGCAGACTGAAGGGTGACTGTTGTGATCCCCAGGATTTCCCTGGGCCATTTTCAGAAGACAACTGCCAGGTCTTTCTTCCTCATAAGGCTATATAACGCTTTGCTACACATTCGAGTCCATCAGCAGCTTCAAGAGAGAAAGATGGGCCTTCTCCTTCTGTGTGATTTACTGCCTCTGAAAATGCATCAGAAGGTCAGCTCTGGGTTTGTTCCAACTTGATGGTATAAAACAATAACAACATGGATACGGCGAGGGAGCTTTTGTGGCCTAGTGGGTAAGGAGTTACATTGTCAACCCAAAGGGTGCTGGTTCATGTCCACCAGCTTCTCCTGGAGAAAAAGATGGACAATCTCCTCCTATGTGACTTACAACCTGCCTCTGACAACCTGTTGGAGTTAGCTGTGAGTTCATTCTGACTTGATGGTAATGAGTGAATGAGTGCTAGGTGAGGTGAAGGGTTTATCTAACACTGCCAGAACAGGTACTTTAGCTAGGTTTAGGACCATGGGTTAATAGGTTAAACATCTCATTTAAAAAATATAGCTTACATTTTATCCAGAATGCACAATAATTCCTTTAGCATTTAAATTGTACAAATGAATTTATGCTTTTTATAATCTTTTTTGAGGCAGGAAATTGTCTTTATAAGAAATTATTATAATAATAATAATAACAAAGTACCTGGATGTTTTTGAACCCCTCTATAAATTCCTCTGAACATGGGATCTGTCAAGTTGATACCAATATCTGTGGAAAGCAAAACATACAATAATTAATCATTAATAGCCTGAATTTGAAATCTCTATTTAAAAAAATAAAATCTCTGTTACTACATTTTTTTTTTACTTATACATTCACTCAGTCACTTATTCAAATAACATCCAACCCTGGAAGTAGTAAAATATGAAATAGAATGCATAAAGATTGATATCCTAGGCATGACTGAACTGAAACGGACTGAGATTGTCCAGTGTGAATTGGATAATCGTGGTCTACTATATAAGGAATGACAAAGAGCAAAAAAGAACGTTTTAAGATCTATTCAGAAGTACACTGCAAATATCACACAGGCAAATATCCATATAAATACAAGGAAGATCAGTTAATATAATTAGTATTCAAATTTAGCTCCACCTTTGCTCCACTAAAGCAGAGATTAAGAAATGGAGAATTTCTACTAACAGCTGCAGCCTAAAATTGATCAACCATATAATAAAGATGAGTTGATGATTACTGGTGATAGGAATTAAAAAACTAGAAACAAAGAAGAGGGATCATTAGTTTGCAGTGGTGACAGAAAGGATGCTGGAGATCACGTGATATTTGCCATTTGTTCAGTGCAAGCACCTTTTGTCAACAACATGCTGGTGACTACACACACAGACTATGCCGGATGGAATGCACAGGACTCTAACTGATGCCACCTGAGGAAGGAGCCAGTGGAGAAGCTCAGTAACATCAATTAGAATAAGGAGAGGGTCAATTGTGGAACTACCTACAAACTGCTTATATGCAAGTTGAAGAAAAGGAAAATGAGCTCACAAGAGCCAACGGAAAACCTTGAGTATGTTGCTGTGTTAGGTGCTGTCAAGTTGGGTATGACTCACAGACTATAAACAGTCAATCTGAACCCTGCCCTATCCTGGCCATCCTCACCATCTCCAAAACACTCAAGCCCATTGCTGAAGTCACCATGTCAATCCATCTCACTGAGGGCCTGTCTTTCCTACACTGACCGCCCCCATCCTGTCTTTCTAAGCTGATGTCCCTCTCCAATGAACAGCCTTGCTTAGCTACATGTCCAAAGTATGAGAAATGAAGCTTCGCCATCCTTGTCTCGAAGGAACATTCTGGCTTTACAGTCTCTAAGATATATCTTTGTATTCTTTTGGAAGTCCATGGGATATTCAAAACCCTTCTTCAACACCACAGCTCCAAGGCATCAATTCTCTTGCCTCCTTATTCACTGTTCTGCACTCAGATGCACTGTAAATTATTTCAAAGACCACTGTCTGAATCAGGTGCACCTTTATATTCGGAGTGATATTATTCCTTAGTAATCTAAAGAGTAATCTAAGAGACCTCTGACTGCAGACTTTCCTAATGCTGTATGTCTCCTGATCTCCTGACTGCTGGTAACAAGGGAGTTGACTGGGGTCCAAGTAAGATGAAATCGATTGACAACTTCAATCTTTCCTCCATCTATCATGATGCTGCCTATTGGTCAAATGGTGAGAATTTTTGTTTTCTTGATGTTGAGACATACTGGAAACTAGTCTTTGATCTTCTGTAGCAAGTGTTTAAAGTCCTCTTCATTTTTGTGTCATCCACATAACACAGGTTGTTGATGAGTTCTGCATTCTTCTTCATACAGTTCAGTTTCTCAAATGATTTGTTCAGTACACAGACTGAATAGTATGGAGAAAGGATACAACCCTGAAGCATACCTTTCTTAATTTTAAATCATGCTTGTGCTCCTTTCAAAGAAAAGTGGAAAACTGTCAAACATTATCACTAGTATCACGTTGTTGTTGTTGTTATGTGCCATCGAGTTGCTTGCGACTCATAGCGACCCTATGTACAACAGCCCTAAACTCCACTCTGTCCTGTGCCAATCGCACTGTCTCTGACACTCCCATCCGAATTATCCCAGTCACTGAATCAATCCACCTCATAGAGGGCCTTCCTCTCCTGCGCCGTCCCTCCACCCTCCCAAGCATGATGTCCCTCTCTAAGGACCGGTCTCTCCTTACAACATGTCCAAAGTATGTTAGACAGAGCCTCAGAACCCTTGCCTCCAAGGAGTCACCCGATTTAACCCTTTCCAGGGCGAATCTGTTTGTTTTCCTATCACATATACAAGTAAAATCTTGTTGAAGATAATTTAAAAATTATTTGCACCTGTAACAGAGAAATACTAGATACTTAAGCTGGATTCAGGAGAAGATATCATTGTTAATGTCAGATGGATGTTGGTGGAAGTACAAAACACCAGCAAGATGACTACCTGTTTTAACCACTATGCAAAGGCATTTAGCTGTGCAGGTCATAATGAATTATGAATTAACATGCAAATGATGGGAATTCCAGACCACTTAATTGTGTCCACGTGGCACTAAGTGTGTGATCAGGAAATATGTGAGTCAAGGTTGTAATCTTTTACTATCTTTATCCAATGTTTACGCAGAGGAAATAATCTAAGACACTAGACTATATGAAGAAGAATGTGACATGAGGACTGGAGAAGACTCAACAACAACTTGCATTATGCAGATGACACAAATTTCTTTTTCCTTCGCTTGCTAAAAGTGAAGAGCACTTGAAGCATTTGATGAAGATCGAATACTAGTCTTCTGGATGTCTTATGATTCAATAAAAAGAAGACAGAGATCCTCACAGCTGGACCAACTAACAACATTACAGTAACCAGACTTTGTTAAGGATTTCATTCTACTTGGACCCACAATCAACACCTGTAGAAGTAGCAGTTATAAAGTCGACCAGCTGCAAAAGGCATCTTTAAAGCATTAGAGGAAAGGTGTCATTTAGAGCACTAAGGTGTGCCTGACCCAAGCAACAGTATTGTATTTTCAATCACTTTACATGTATGTGAAAACTGGATAATGAATAAGGAAGAAAAGTCAATGCATGAATTATGGTGTCTGCAAAGAAGACTGAAAATAGCATCAACTGCCAGAAAACCAAACAGACCTGTCTTGGGACAAATGCAGTTAAAATGCTCCTTAGAAGTGAAGATGATGGAACTTCATCCCACATATACTGGACAAGGTACCATGAGAATGCAGTCCCCGAGGACACCATGCCTGTGAAGTGGAGGATGAGAGAGCGAGAGGAAGACCCTCAACAAGAAGGCTGACGTGTGTCTGCACAGAAGACTCAAGCAGAGCAGAGATCATAAAGATGCTGCAGACCGAGTCTGTGATGTAACATTTTGTTGAACACAAGACAGGGTTACTAATAGGTTAGAACCGACCTGACAGCATGTAACTTCCATCTGCTCACTACCAAGCTGGGTACCTGGGTGCCATCGAATCGAGTACAACTCACAGCGACCCTATAAACAACAGATACGAACCCTGTCTTTTCTGTGCCATCCTTATCAACTCTGACACACTTGAGCCCACTTTTATAGACACTATGTCATTCCATCTCGTTGGAGGTCTTTCTCTTTTGCAGATCTCCACCGTTCCAAGTATGACGTCTTCTGCTGTTGTTGTTAAGTGCATTTGAGTTGAGTATGACTCATATGCCCCTATGAACAACAGATCTGAACTGTGCCCTCTCTGATGCCTCCCTCATCGTCTATGACACACTTGAGCCCTTTGCTGCAGTCCTTTGAATAAGCTCTAATTCCTGCGCTCAAGAAATTCCCTGTAGGACTGCCAGAAAGACAAGTATGTAATAGCAGGAAACACTGGTGCTGTGGTCTATTTTTACTCGAATTCCCCTGAGTTGCTTCCAGGAATGAGCTGCTCCAATATTCAGCTGAATCTTGAAGGAGGAACGAGAGCTGGGGCAAGTTAAGAGATGGGGGATGGAGTATGAGTATTCCAGGCATTTGAAACAGGAAGAGAAAGGCATAATGCAGAAAACAGCAACAGCACACGTGACCAGAGAGATGCGAGGCGGGATGAAGCCACAATTCAGCCCCTGTAAGAGCACTATTTCCACACAAACATCATTCAATACTACAAACGCAATGCAGGGGTTTAGGGGAAATTATCACCTGGCTTCTTTTTCAAGTTAAGGACAGTACTGACAGGGCAAAGAAAAGAAAAAACAAAACTGATGGTCTTTTTGCATAAACTATCCCCCTATCCTGTGAGGTTCAGTCTGCTGTCACCTGACCCTGGTGAAGGCCAGCACCACAGAAATGGGTCATCTTTTCTTACTCACTTTCCCTTTGTTCAGCAGAGGTCAGAATGTGTCCAAAGCAACCTTTTTGGAGTCAAAGTAAAAAACAGAGGGAATGGAAAAGCAAGCAGAAGTTAGAGCTTTATAATCTTCATTTTATATTTAAAAATGTTAGACTTTAACTGGATATATTAAAACACTATCATTTCAACATAGAGCCAGTAGAAAATATTTTATCATTTGATTTTGTGAATGTACTAGGGACAGAGTTGATGCCTTTGAGCTGCGGTATTGGGGAAGAGAACGGAATATACCATGGACTGCTAAGAGAATAAACAAGTTTGTCCTGGAGAAGGTGATGCCAGGCTGCTCCCTGGAGGCAAGGATTCTGAAGCTTCGTCTGACATACTTTGGACATGCTGCAAGACGGGATCAGTCCTTGGAGAGGGACGCCATGCTTGGGAGGGTAGAGGGACAGCACAGGAGAGGAAGATCCTTGATGAGATGGATTGATTCCGTGACTGGAGTAATGGGGGTAGATGTGTCAGAGACAGTAAGATTGGCACAGGATGGAGCAGGGTTTAGGGCTGTTGTACATAGGGTCACTATGAGTGGCAGGCGACTCGATGGCACGGAACAACAACACAGCAAAATATACACTTTGACACACAGGGTTTGGGGACACTACTTTCTCTGACTACTGCAGCCATACCTGCCCTTCTGGTTCCTATTTTAAAATAGATGGAAGAGGACCCTTGCAGCTCAGTTTCTGAAGCCAGTCTATATCCTTGCTTCAACCCTAATGGGCAACTGAGGGGCCGATCTCAAAGATGTCATTTCTCTTAGATCTTCTAGATGTGGGCCAAT